CATTGGAGTGGTGGTGGGGAAATTGGGGGGAGACTTTGTTCAATGCAGCAAGCTTATTTTCAAGTGAAGTGATATCACTGCAGTGAGTAATGCTCTAGGAGTTTCCTGCAATCTCTGTGGTATTCATAGTAATTGAGAAAATTCCTAGAGCATCACTTGATGTGGTGACATATTTCACCCATTGCTATCCCCCAAAAGTCTCCCCAAGATTCTAAAAATGTGCCTGGTAACCCTATCTACAAACCAGGATTTCAGAATGGACCTAATGACAAATTATGGCTTGCTGCAAAAATGGAAGTCTTTATGAGAGAAGATATTAAGAGGTTGATTTGTGTAAAAGAAAACCTAGGCCAAATGTTTTGAAAAACTGGCTTCAGCGGCTTTAAGTGTGCATGAGTTGGATTGTGGCCTCGCTGTCTAACTCTCGCCTGGCAAAAGCCTCCATTTTCTAGGCTGAATTGTAATGTCTGTTTCCATACAGATATTTTGTTCCACACTGGCTTCTTTACCACAGTGCTCTTTTCAAGAGACTCCACAGGCCATCGTCCTCTGTTTGTCCTGTTTCTGAGTTTCCCCCTGCTTTGCTGCAATCTTTCCCAAACCTGGATGGATATGATCCTCTTGAGAAAATCTCAGTCAAAGAGCTTTTGGATATCATGTAGACAGGAAGATGTGCATTTTTTTCATGTCATGATCAATTCAGTGCTCCTTTGTTTACCTAAGGACAAATAGCTATTTGTCCTCCACTGGAGGGATTTTTATTTTAAGATTGGCCATAGTTTTATTGCAGTAGTGTTATCAAATTATAACAATGCACTGATTCCATGCTTTGATTTTTTTTAAAAATTAAGTCTCTAGCTCTTTTGGTTGAGCTGTTAAATCAGGAAAGGCACTGGTTGCACATTTCTCCTTATATCTCAGCAAAATGAAGCAATAGAGACTTAATTAAAAAAAAATTAAAACTGTGTACATTGTGGCAACAGATTGTTGCAACACTACAGCAATATAACTATAATTGACTTTTTTAAAAAGTCTGAAAAAGCTCTCTAATGGCAGAGAGAAAATGGCAGCCGTGGAGGGCTAAGGCAAGGAAAGTGTGGGGCATGTCCTCTGCATTTGCTGCAGCTACAGAAACTACATGGAGAATTGTCTCTGTGTGGCAGCAGCCAGTGTAAGCAATGATGAAGCCACAGTCAGTTCTTCCTTATCCAACAGCCTTTTAAAAAACCCAACTCAATTCTTTGAACAAGTTCTATAAATTGAAACCAGATGACCTCAAATTACCTACGCCGGAATCTCAACAAAATGTTTTAGTGTTAAGCTCTTAACTGGATTAGAAGCTAAAAAAAAAACAAAAAACGGCATGCCTCTACTTAAGATGACACAGCTACATTACTCAAACCATATGCTAAAAGCCAGTATGAATTCATGGTGCCAGATGATCTTTGGACTATCATATATCTTCCCTATTGTTGGTCTCTTTCTTCCCCTCCAGCCAGAACCTGCCTCTTTTTTGATGGGTTGGGTTCAAAATCCACTAGAGACATGATGTGTTTGTGTTGTATCAGTTTTCACCAGCTTCTGTAAACTACCAATAAGGAAGCTATAAATAATGCAAGCATTTTCTGTGGCTTCAAGAATTATTGACAAGTACAAGGAAGGAGCTCTCCAGGGTTTCTGGCAGAGAAGGATCTTAGGATCTGCGGGACCCATAGAGTTTGGGGTGCATCCTAGAGTGTTGCCCTGATGTGACAATGTCACTTCCGGTTTCATGCCAGAAGCGATGTCATTCACAGTAGCAGCATTGAACAGCTTGTCCCCTTCCTCTCTATGGTTTTTGTACAATGTAGTGCCTCTACAGGCCATTCAGCCTCTGTTCCTTGTTCTTCTCTAGCCTCTTTCCACTGTGAATCTCTGGCTTTGCAAGTCTTGCCTGCCTGCTCAGCTCAACTTGTCATTTTTGGTTTGCAGTCAGAGCACACTCAGACTGCCTCTTTGACCCATTCTTTGTCTCCTCCCCTGGTTAAAATGATTCCATCCTCTGTATGACAGGAAGTCATCATAGGCAATGTGCAGACGCTGAGCAGATTGCAAAGAAAGGCTGATCTAAATCCAAGCAAGTGAAAAATCAGACATCAGTACTTGGAAAGAGTCGCCATTGAAAGAAATTGGCCTTCTTTTTGATCCCTGATCAAACTATCTTTGCTAAATGTATGTAAACCTGTACGTGAACTTCCTTCACCATGTTTTCCATAAGCTTTCGCTTATGATATTGCAATCCTCTTTCATTTTCATTAGCAATTTTGGCCCCAGGATTTTATCAACATTGCCCACTGCACGGAGAGTTTCCTTAACAGTCCTGAATTCTCAAAAGATCATCCAGTACTGGAGACTAGCAGTTTGCACCCACTGCAGAACTCCAACTAATAATGTGAATTAATGTTTTCTGTGCATCCCCAGGCAGGTCCTTGGCATTTCCAGGTGTCTTAAGAAGCAGGACTGGGAAAGACCTTTGCCTCTGGCCTTCACTGCCAGTTGGAGCTGCTATGAGGCTATAATGCAGTTGATATAATGCAGTTTCATACACTTATATAAGCCCAATAAGGTAACCCGCTGTGTTATGACAAACTACATTTTCATGATCTAGCGCTGCCAACCTCCAGGTGGAGCCTGGAGATCTCCCAGAATTACAACTGTTTTCCAGATGACAGCAATCAGTTCCCTCGGGGAAAAAAAATAGTTTCAGGAACACCTTAGAGACCAACAAGATTTGCATGGTAGAAGCATTCAAGAGTCAAAGCTCCCTTTGTCAGATACCAGGAGAAATGGCCACTTTGGAGGGTCACTCTCTGACATTATACCCTGCTGAGGTCCCTGCCCTCCCAAAACCCTGCTCTCGCCCAGGCTCTACCTCGGATCTCCAGGAAATTCCCAACCCAGAGCTGGCAACTCCATAACTCCGTAACTTCATGACTTTCAGGAAGATATTTGGAAAGGAAGACAGACAGGATGGCATCAAGGCAGCAGCTGATCAGGGCTGTAAGGACTGGCGGACCAGTGCAAAAGAGGTAAGGCACTGGGGAAAGATTTGGGGGCATTTCACACACACACACCCCACACACATAAAGTCACTTTTTGTGTGCTGAAAATACCTGCTATCAAGCATTCACTGCAGATCTCACAGGAAGAAGAGCAGTGTTGTATGATAGCTAGAGTACTAGATTGAGACCAGGGAGACTCAGGTTCAAATTCCTGCTCAGCCACAAAGCTCAATGGGTGACTCTGCAACAGTCATTATTTTTTATCAGAGAATTAAAGATCTGTTAGTGCAGGCAAGCGCCATTGAAAACCAGTGCTCAACTAATGACCTACACTATCTGCAGCTGTATTCCAGGGCAATTCCGAAACCCAACAGACCTCAACAGTGCCTTTGTGAACTGAGTATGAACCCTAAAAACACTCCCTAAATCCTTTGCAACATGCAGGAATTCCATTAAGACATGAAGAACTTCTTAGGCAGGAAAACCAATACAGAAACAGTTATTTGAAGACATAAGGTTTCAAAACCACCAATGTATGCTAAAGCCTCCCCCCCCCCCAATTTACTCATGCATAAACCTCACTGAAGCTAGTGGAATTTCCTCATACACAATTGCTGGCAAACCGCTTTCCTTGTTCTGCCCCCCCCCCCAACATCCAGCCTGAACTAGGGTTGCCAGCCTCCAGGTGGAGGCTGGGGATCTCCTGGGATTACAACTGATCTCCAGGCGACAGAGATCAGTTCACCTGGAAGAAATAGCTACTTTGGAAGGTGGACTCTATGGCATTATACCCCATTGGAGTCCCTCCCCTCTCCAAACCCCACCTTTCTCAGGCTCCACCTCCAAAATCTCCAGGTATTTCTCAACACAGAGTTAGCAACCCTAAGCCTAAATGCTCCTGGGCAGTATTTTTAATAGGAGTCAAATGTAAGCTATTATAAGGAGGCCAAAGAAACTAGATGACCAGGTAGGGAGGCTGTGAGTAGATCCTCACTTGTGAGCAGGCCAGTGGCTAGGGTTGCCAAGTGTATCTTCGCCGGGAACCAGTGTCTTGTGCGTGGAAAACCATAGAGTTTTCCCTTGTATGGCCGTGGCCCCGCCCCCAGCATGCCCGGCGTGCCCACGTCACTTCCTGGTGATGCCCACGCGGGGGTGGGGTTCCCCTTGAGGCCTGATTCCGCGGTGGCGGAAATCGGGCCTCCAAAGCAGGGGTTTACCCGCCACCCGCCCCCACTTGGCAGCCCTACCAGTGGCACCAGCTGACCAGGGAAGGAAACTAAGTGTAGCAGGCCAAGGGAACTGGCTGACTGGGGAAGGAGTTCATTAGTAGACCCTTAGGAGCAGGCCAAGGGAATTGCCTGACATGCGAGGGAGAGAGTAGCAAGGCTGCTGCTTCCTCTATGAATCCCCTGCCCACTGGAAATTGAAGCTGGGTCTCCCCAGGCCTAGTTTCGCACAATAACCAACACACCACACTGGCACTCTGTCATTTTTATTTATTTCCCCCTTCAATGGGGACCCAAAGTGGCTTACAATGTTCTATCCTCCTCACTGTATCCTACAAAAACTAAGATGATTTTACTGGGGCTGCCTTCAGATACCACAAATTGTGGCATGCTTGTGATGAGAGGCAGCGTACCACTGAGCAGTTCAACCCAACTGTGGCTTGTTTCTTGCCTACAAAGCGAGATTCTAAACTGAGGAGGAAAAGGGGACAAGAACCTGTTCTCAGGCTATGCAAAGCATGGTTTGCTTGGTTGTTTAAATGCCGCCTTGATCTTCATCGTGTGGTTTCAAAAGTCTTTAGCCTGACTAGGCAAACCCTCCTGACAAACCCGGTGGCTGGCTTTTCTTTTGCACACCCCTTTAATTTGTTGGCAAAAAACAGCATGGAGCTATAGCTGTCACTGGTAATTCTCTAAAAGACATCAAGGACAAAAGGAACAGGAAGAAACCTACTTCAAAGACAAGTGTCTCGTTAGTTGGCCCAACAGCAGAAAGTCTCTCTGGAAGATTAAACGAACGCTGATAATCAAAGATGGTCCCACCAAAATGAAATTTTCCTGGCCAGTCAATTGTCCAGTCCTTTGTTAGGTAATATTTCTTGTTCAGGTTGCGGACCGCTAGGTAGCTGCTGGACATTTGTAACTCCTGGATTTCAATACTGCGAGCTCCAGCTGGAATTGTAACAACTGGATAGTAATCTAAAATAGGAAAAAAAATATATACATATTTCCAGAGGAAAAATATTTCCAGGCAAAACCCATAGTGTTTTCTATGTAACTAATGTTGTTATTTACAAAAATAGTGCTTCTGAGTACTGAGGGAGCATTGTAGACACTGTTTTAGATAGGATCCACATGCCTTTTGAGACTGTATTTTTGTAATTGTTTGCTTCCTGGATTTTCCAATGCAGTGAAGCAAATCCAGACATTAACCTGACATTGCGATCCTACAAGAGTTACCCCTTCTAAGTCCATTGAAACCTCTGGGTTTAGAAGGGGGCAACTCTGCTCAGGATGGCACTGTGAACACGACAGTGCAATGTCCAACTCCATGTGGCTCTGACCTAGCTTATTCCTCATAATTACGGTTGCTAACTCTGGGTTTGGAAATACTTGGAGATGTCCTGGCCCCACTGCTGGACCTCCTGATGGTCCCTGGTGTTTTTTGGCCACTGTGTGATACAGAGTGTTGGACTGGATGGGCCTTTGGCCTGATCCAACATTGGCATCTCTTATGTTCTTATGTTCTTATGAGATTTGAGGGTGGAGCCTGGGAGGGTGTGGCTTAGGGAAGGGAGGGTATAATGCCAAACAATCCGCCTTCCAAAACAGCTATTTTCTCCAGAAGAAGTGGAATAAATGTTGTAAATAAATAAATAAGCGATCTATGTCATTTGGAGATCAGCTGTAATTCTGGACAATCTCCAGCCTCGCCTGGAGGGTTGCATCCCTACTCAGAACAGCTTAGTCTCACCTCCTTCACAGGGTCTTTGCAAGGATAGAGTGGAGGAGATGAGAATGCTGTAGGCTGCTCTGGGTCCACTCTTTGGGGAGAAAGACAAGGTAAAAGTGAAGTCAATATATACTGAATAAAATATTTGGGGGGAACCGGCGGCGGAGGCTCCAGGCCTCCGGCGCCGGCCTGGACTGGGGGCGGGGGGTGGGGGGAACCGGCGACGGAGGCTCCCCTCCAGGAGGGGAGGGAGGCGGCGGACGGGCCGGGCAGGGCCCGTTCGCCAGGCAGGATGGGTGCTGGAGGTAGGGAAGCCGGCGGACGGAGCCTATCGGCTCCGTTCGCCGCTGGGCTGAAAGCGTCCCTTACCGTATGTGGGGAAGATGGCCGCTCAGAAGAGCTGGCTCCGATGACTGGCTCCCTCCCCTCCCAGCCACCCAGCCAATGGCAGGGCAGGTTGGCTGAGGGAGCCAGTCATTGGAGGCAGCTCTCCTGAGTGGCATATTTTTCACCCATACACTAACGGGGCGCGTTTTAGAATTTTGGCAGCGACTACTCTTTTATATAAGGGAGAGATGAGATTTGAGGGTGGAGCCTGGGAGGGTGTGGCTTAGGGAAGGGAGGGTATCATGCCAAATAGTCCGCCTTCCAAAACAGCTATTTTCTCCAGAAGAAGTGGAATAAATGTTGTAAATAAATAAATAAGCGATCTATGTAGTTTGGAGATCAGCTGTAATTCTGGACGATCTCCAGCCTCGCCTGGAGGGTGGCCTCCCTACTCAGAACAGCTTAGTCTAACCTCCTTCACAGGGTCTTTGCAAGGATAGAGTGGAGGAGATGAGAACGCTGCAGGCTGCTCTGGGTCCACTCTTTGGGGAGAAAGGAAAGGTAAAAGTGAAGTCAATATATACTGAATAAAATATTTCATACGGGGGCTGAGTCTAAAGGACTGTGGAAGGCATGAGGCCACCTAGCGTGTTAATAGCAGAGGTCAGATTTTAAGACCAGACTTCTTGTTTCAGAGTATAATTCAGTAGCCGTTATGTTGTATCAGCTACAGACTGACAGCTAACTTCTTCCTCCTCAGACCCCCAAAACTTGGATTCTGATCCCCACCAGGGACTCAGCAAGGAGGGGCTTTTCCTTCTTCAAGTGCTGTTGGGCAACTGGCTAAATGGACATTATTCCATTTGTCATAAACTAAACTTCTTACTTCTGCTAATGCCTCCAGTGGAAGTTACTTCCAGTGTTCCTAGCATGACAGCCAGAGACTGATAAGATTTACAATTCGAGTGTGTTCGGTTATGAAATTTAGTGGGACAGGAATAAAAATCAGGCTGACACAAAGCAAGCATTTCTCTCTGGCTGTTAAGGACTGTTGTTTACATGCACGTCCACAATTCCTCACTGAAGCATCTGGCTTAACCCTTCAGTTCTCCTCCCCAGCCATAATAAAGCCCAAATGTGTTTGCTTACAGTGATCCCTAGCTGATTGCTTTACTTAAAAAAAAATGTTTTTATACAACTTCTCCCAAAGGCTCATGAAGGCAAACAAGACACTGAAAACAAACACTAGGAGCCAAAAAAGTACACACAAAAGTTAAGAACGAGATTCGATTGATACTCTTGCCTCTTTTTTTCGCCCCTGCTCCTTCTCCCCCCCCCCCCAACTGACAGAATTTAGATTGCATGCCTCTAGGACAATATTTGATTGACTGATTTTTGCTGATGTCATTTTGCAAACCATCAGGTATGTCAACCATTAGTCCTGATAAAGGGGGGAGGGGACAAAGCAGATGGCTCCTGTCCTTCTTCCCTGCATGTGTGTGTGTGTATAAAGTAAAAGGTAAAGGTTCCCTTGCTCGAAAGCCCGTCGAGTCCGACTCTAGGGTTGCGGTGCTCATCTCCATTTCAAAGCCGAAGAGCCAGCGCTGTCTGAAGACATTTCCGTGGTCATGTGGCCGGCATGACTAAACATCAAGGTGCACGGAACGCTGTTACCTTCCCACCGAAGTGGTACCGATTTATCTACTGGCAATTTCTTGCTTTCAAACTGCTAGGTTGGCAGGAGGTGTGTGTATAAAGCACTGCCAAATCACAGCTGACTTATGGCAACTCCGCAGTGTTTTCAAGAGATGAACAGAACTGGTTTGCCATTGCCTGCCTCTGTGTAGTGACCCTGGACTTTGCTTCTGGTCTCCCATTCAAATTCAATCCAGGGCCAACTCTGCTTAGCTTTCTAGAGCTGACAAGACTGGTCAGGATGCTTTTTCCCAAGTGGGATGATGATGATAAAACAGGAAGGTAGGAACAGTTTCAATCAGGAAGACAGTGCCAAAGGAACCAGTTAACTTCTCCCTACGAGGCTGCTTTTTAAGGATAAATGATATTTCAGTTGCGCAACCCTCAAAGTAACAAAAAACAAATTGGCCCTAAGCATGCCAAAGAACAACTTTCCTTACCATTTGTTTTGGGCTGGGTCAAGTAATGGCCAGAAAAGAACTTGCATGTCGAATTGTCTCCTTTGCAAACTCCGCAAGCATCCAAAACAGCTTTGGATCCAAGCCGACGATCACACCCTACTTGCTACAACAAAAAGACATGAATGAACGACTAAAGGGGGATACAAAGGTCCCCCTCCCCCCCCAAAAAAAAACCGGGTTGGTTGTCTATTTCTTAAAAATGAACTCATAAAATTGCCTTGTACTAAGTCACTCCATAATCTAATTCTGTCCACTTTGAGCAACAGTGACTACCTAAGGTCTTCTCCAGCCCTGCTACCTGACAATCTGTTTAACCAAAGATGCTCAAGATTGAATTTCTGGATTTCTGTGTGCAAGACATACACTCTGCCACTGAGCAACATCCAAGGCACTGTGACAGAGAAAAATATCAGCTTAATCTTACTTCACAAATGCCATCGATGCACACATCGTCTCTGTAGGGAGAGCAGGGAGTTCCATCCTTCACTTTGCTGGACATTGCAAAGAAAAAGTCAAAGTCTTCTGCTGTGCAGTAGAGTTTGCAGAGATCTTCCTCTAGAAAAACAGAAGACAGCAGACCTTCCCCATTACCATTCCTAATTTATATACAGAGGCCAATATTTCTTCCTCCCCACTGAAAATTTATGCTTATATAAAAATTTTGGAACTACATTTCTAGGACTCACTTTTACAAGCGACAAGGCGGACTTCTTTCAATTATGATGTCACCTCATAAAACTTGTTAACAGACATATTCCCGTATATCTCAGAATGTACCTCTGTATTTGGCTTCCTTCCAAATACAGATTTCTATATGCCAGATATAATCAAGATGATCCTTCCCTGTCTATTTTAGTACCATCTCTTCCAGTTACAAACATAAGCCACCAGCCTACTTTGCCTCTAGGTAACAGGGAAGTAGTAATGTGATTGACATTGATAAAGGAGTTTTTAAAGGTAAATTTAGGTTTGATGATGAATTCTTGGATTGAATTGCGTTAAAATTTATTTCATATATTTCCTTTTAACACCTCTTGAAAATGATCAGTGATTTTGTTTTTAAAGTGGCAAGAAGTTGGCAGCATCTTACAAAGAACAGAACCAGAGTTGCCTACTATATAGAGTATTAAGCCAGGGTCTGAAATAGGCTGACTTGTTCAACTCATATTTTGAAATCCAGAGTGTAGCTGTACAGGAGTGTAAACCAACTGGTCTGTAGAACACCAACAATCTACTTGTGCAGTATATCTAGGCATTAGAACTATAGCCACACCATAGCCCTGTTCACCATCCTAGAAATAAAATATTTTGAGGGAAGAGACTGGAGTCATGGCCACTGCCCTCCCCCAACCTCACAATTATGGGTCTCATTGCCCAGACCATATGCACATATACAGTAAAATTATGCCTGAGGTGGAGAAAGTAGCTAGAGGAAGCTTTTTCTCCCTCTCACATAATATTCGAACACAGGGCACCTAAGGAAGAAGTTGGGCAATAGGTTCAGGATAGATAACAGGAAATACTTCTCTACCCAACAATTAATTATATGGTGGAATTCACTGCCTGGACGTAATGATGGCGACCACTGGACAGGTTCATAGAGGACAGGTCCATCAATGGGTAGCAGTCATGATCAGAAAAGGGAACCTCCACATATAAAGGCAGTAAACCTCTGAAAACCAGAGCTAGCAGGCAACATCGGGAAGGGCCTTGGTCTCTGTGCCCTTGCTGTTGGCCCTCCAGGACAACTGGCTGGCCACTGTGTGAAACAGAATGGTGGACTAGATGGACGTCTGGTCTGATCCAGTGGGGCTCTTCTTATATTCTTATAATCCATACAGACTGATTTACACATTGTTCATACAGTAACTTCTGAGTATTAGAATGTATACATACAGAGGTGCCCCTGGGCACAGTTTAGAATAAAATGCTACAGTCTTTGATTTGGTATGAGCAGAGATTTCCCAGATGGCATAAAAAGGTACTTTGAATGACAGTCACTCAAATCAGGGTTTGTCTCAATGAATGCTGTCTTTTATCACTTTTTACCCACCTCCTCTGTAAAGACCCAACTGGTATCCCAGCCTGCATTGTGGCTATGGCAAAACCAGGAACATGCCAAGATTAAGCCAGGATGCCTTCAACATTCATACATTAAACAAATCCATAGTTAAAAGTAACCATGGTTAATAAACCAACTTAAAACCACGGTTCCAGAAACTTGCGTCTTCTCCCATTACAAACCATGGTGAGTGGACTCACCCACATCTGTATGATCATAATAACCATTGTTAGCTTAAGTTTTGTGCAATGTCTGAGCTGAGCCATAACTTTATGCACATTGAGCAGGAGTAGCAATAGAAACCCCTGTATCTTCTGTGTGTCACTTACGTGGATGGATGTTTGAGCAGGGTTTATGTGATATCTCAACCCATATTCACAACATGAAGATATACAAGAGAGAGGAGCTATGCTGACTATTACTGGATTACCTTCAACTTTTGTGTAGGGCTTCCATTTGTAGTACCATCCACGGAAAGGCTTGCTGTTATACTCAGCACACTGCTGGGCACGGAAGTCAGGGCTATTCGATGTACATGGCTGAATATTGCACAGTTGATAAATACGACTTGAGCCCTGACAGAACTTTCCACCATACTGAGGCCTATGAAGAAAAGAAAACCTTTGGCAAGATTCTACCCTTAGCAAGTGATCATCCACTAAGTTATGACCATAATGGCTGCTTTCACCATAATAGTCTGGCCACAGTTTTCCATACTCGTGTCATGTTCAGGTTAGATTACCGCAGTGTACTCTACACAGAACTGCGTGACCTTAGGCCAGAAACGCTCTCAGCCTAACCTACCTCACAGTGTTATTAAAATAAAATGGCAGAACCATGTATGCTTCCTTTCTTGGAAGCATCAAAAATATATACAAGGTAGACAAATTGAGTGATTATAATATGTAAGGCAGGCTGACTGACACACAAGTAACACTGAAAAATGAATACAGTTTACAGGACAAATTTTCAGAAGGAAACAGCAAACTGTGTAGAAATGAATAATCACAGGGCTGATTCACAAAAAAGAAAAGCAACACAAAACGGGAATGTTGATGTCAAAATGGGGCAATCCCCACAGACTTGTTAAATTATGCTGGAGGCTGAGAAATTAGGGCAGAAGATCAATGGCATGAGGAGTTTACATACACCTCATTATTACAGCATTTCAGAGATCAGGCTCAGAGCATCCAAGATATAAGAAAGCTTAATAAATGAATAAAAAGAATGCACATGGTCCATTCAAGCAGTCTGACTAAACAAGGGAACAAAGAAAATGTAAAAACACGCTGTCACCTTTCCCTTTACAGCATTTCAGAGATCAGGCTCAGAGCATCCTAGGGTTGCCAAGTCGTTCTGACTCACCGGCGGGGGAGCGTTGCTTCAGTCCAGGAGCTGCTGAGGGATCTGCGCGCGCACCGCCAGAATGTCACAGGAAGTGATGCACGACGTAGAGCACGTTGGGGGCGTGGCCCCAATCGTTGGAGGGAAAACCATAGAGTTTTCCCTCCAATAATTGGGG